TCAAGATCTAAGTATATTGGGTAGTGTCGTATTTCACGTGGTATTTTTTGTGGTAATTTGTATCGATGATAGAATCATGCATTTCTTGAAATGCTCTTAATTATTTAAACGTGTTAGTGATAAAATTGACAATAATGTTGTGCAATTTAAAAAGTTATTTTTCTTTCTTAAATGTATCGACGAACTCAATTTGATACCAAGTCCACCAATTTTTTTTTTTTTTGGTTAGCAACAGTTTTTATGGCGTCGTGGTTATCATTCTTCTTTTAAAAGAATAGTCTAGAACAATTTCAATATTAATACTACATAAATATGTAAAAAGTTATAATTAATCGAAACATTATGTTGAATAGACATTTTAAGTTAATCTACTTTATTTAAATTGTAAATGTGCATGAGTTGTACCGTAGTGGTAATTTATTCGACATATTATTTTCAATCCGGTTACCGTAGTGACGTGAACAGAGTCAAAGACCTTTATCAGTTTAAGAAAAAAAAGTGAAAATTTTAATGCGACATGGACGCCTATTTTTTGCATTAAAAAAGTACTTGATCACGAAGTGCGAATACCGAGTAAAGAATATTAAAGTTTGTTGATTTTTTATAGATATTTTACTATGGGAATTCTGGACGAATGCAGGATTTGTTAAGGTGACAAAAAATAAAAATAACTTTTTAAAAAATTAACATAACATTTATGAGTAATTTTATGATACAGTATATATCATAAAATTAGTAATGAGTAGGCAGAGGTGTACATTACGCCACTGTACAATGTAATCTTTTAACTATTTATGTTATGAGTCCCATGTAATATAGGGAGTGAGTCTATTGCCATATACCGGGCACAATTCTAGACTCCGTGCTACTACTGTGAATTTTTTGAAACCGAATTGACCCGGGTATCGGACCCGAGACCCCTGGCAGTCGCACTTGCGACCACTCGGCCAATGAGGCTATCAAAGAGCACTAGGCCTAAACACGTCGCGGAGAACCTAACGGGTAACCGGGGCTCCGGCTCGATGTGCAGGAGAAGGAACGGGGTGGTTTTTAGTCAGTAAGAGTCTGACACTCCCTCCCGCCTCACCCAAGCGGGAGTAGTAATTCGAAGATTTTCCACCCTAAAAAAAACGGTCTCTCCCAGTATCCCTTAAGATGGGCAGCAACTACCAGCACTGTTTATCACAGTGTAAAGTGATCTTATCATCATTGCCGGCCGATGTTTCTAAATATTTTCATTTATCTCATTCCTGTATCTCAACACTTGTTTTCGGCACATGTACACAGACTCGCTGCGTGATGACCGCGTGCATGTAGGCGTGTATTAGCTCCGTTCTAATTCGAAAGTATTCGGGCGAGCCCGATCGATGTCCCGAAATACATCGTGACTAGCATAAAAACAAATTTGTCACACGAATATTGTTAAAGTTTAGTTTTTATATTTTTTTTGGGTTATCACGCAAGTGTGACTGTTACACTTTATAAAATACGAATTCTAATGAAATTAGAACTCTGATAAAATTAACGTTGAGAGGTAACTTGAAACTGTTGCTTGATCAGAAAAACCACTCCTCTCACAGGATACCAGAGCGTGAAAACTACTTCTAGTGACGTAATATTTGCTCTGGTCGGTGAGATTTGTGGATGCCCAACCCAATTAATTACACCATCATATTCGGGGAACACACCTCTCTGCGGCAGTTCACAAATAAAAAAAAACTCGAGATATAGATAACTCTAGATTACTACATAGTATAAAACAAAGTCACTATCCGACGTATGTATCGTCGCGATCCTATGTATGCTTAGATCTTTAAAACTACGCAACGGATTTTGATGCGGCTTTTTTTAATAGATAGAGTGAATCTTAACGAAGGTTTATAATTTTATATGTATAATACATGCATACTGTACCCGTGCGAAGTCGGGGCGGGTCGCTAGTAACATATAAAAAGCTTAAGACATCCTTAATTGACCATCGCTAGACCAACCACTTAGTCAATTTTATTTAAATAGAAAAACTGCTGTATCATTATCAGGAAAGATTACGATCATTGAATAATGTAAAATCATTTCATATGCTACGTCATGCATGATGGCCATTTACTGATGTTGTGTTCGAGGGAGACCTAATCATCAATGTCAATGATTTTCCACTGACTGATTATTTCATTAACACGTTGATAAATTAATTTTTAAATGTATAATGACGTAACGTATGTACGGTTATCAAGTTGAAGCCTTGGCCCTGACTGGCTTATTTTGAGGCACTGCCGATATTACTGGTAGTCAAAAGTCGTTGCAGGATTCCTTTTTTTCTGCAGTAGATATAATAGAAAACAGGCATGGCAATAGGCTCAGCCCCTATTACATAGGACTCACTACATAAATAGTGAAAAGTGGGTGTTACATTGTACAGTGGTATGTGCCGTAAGGTGCACCTCTGCCTACCCCTGTGAGGATGAAAGGTGTGACGTTAAGTTATGTTATAATAGAAAACTTACCTCAGAGTAAAAAGAAGTGACATATCCTGCTGAAAAAGAGCCCTCTCTATAAATCTAATAAGAAAATGCGACGTCTTAAAATAGAGCAATGCCTTCCAAAAAATTCAGTGAGTAAGGGATAAGGCATTCACTTGTTTTGTCGTAAAAAAAGATGACAAACGTTCTATTCAAAATGCTGGAAAACAAATTACTTCCCATAAAAACAATGCAATATTACAAGACCTGAGTCACTGGCAGACTAAGAAGAACACAATGAATGTGCATAGATAAATAATATTACGAGACATAAGAGGCGCTCTCTGGCGGTGCGCCAAGGAACCATCCTTGAAATTACGCGGGAAGTCTGTGAGCTGTCTGTGGCCGACGATGTATCAGGATTTTATTTTATCAAATGTTTCGACAGATCCGTACATCGTTATGCACTTTGATATGTTGTGGATGTACAAGGAAGATTAATGTGTGTCTGATGGGCATTTGTTTTTTTAAGTACAAAGATAAATGTAGATCTCGTTGCCCTCCACAACGACCTTTGTAACCTAAGGGCATCCTTATAAGTAATCGGTTAGTGTACATTTGAATTACAAATTCTCGAACTGAAATCTTACAAAGTATTATAATAAAACAGGTTTTTCATTGCGAAAAAACTCATTTTTTCACCTGCTTGTTGAGCTTCGTGAATGGATTCTCCAACGCCAACAAGAGGGAAAAAAAACTAAACGTAAACCATTGTTAATGTTCTTCTGCAAGAAAGATAAGTTCATTTTGTGGTAATTATAATGCATAGATCAATGCGAAAATGAGCTTTAAACCGTTCTATTTTACTCATAAAATTGACCCGAAGTAGTCCCAGCCACATTTGCTCTTTAACAATTATTATGAGTACCGATGAGGCACTTTACTTTTTCTTATTTTTTCAATTTGATGGCCCATCGTTGACAGTACATCTATGTTAAACTTTCTACTCAAATTGGTATATCGAGGGTCATTTTCCATTATTTAACCTCACTTTCACAACAATATTTTAAATTGATAAACGATAACGGTTTACCACCGGAAAACCAACAAGATTGACGTCAAGTATACTATTACGTTATCTGTGGGCGATTTCATAAAATATTCAAAAGTTCCATATTATAGGCTGAATGTGCGTGTTGCCTTCGTTTTGAAATCGTTACATTATGAAAGCAATACGTCATTTATTTTGGGTTAGATAGAATTTGAAAAATTCCAGTGATACTTGTAATCTCAGCAGCTGTAGCCAAATGCCATTTAGCGCTTGTCTACATGTAGAATAGAAAACTAAATTATATGGAATTGACGTAAATTTTGACACTTGTCAGTGTCATCCCCATACATTTAGTTTTCTACTCTGTAGACAATTTATTATTATTATTCCTTGTTTCTTTTATCTTAGCTCGGCTACAAGGCCGGGTTTGAGGGATAGTACGGGCCGAAGCCAAGTGCTATCCCACTTAGGTGTCTTAATTTTAGGTGTGGGTGTACGAAACATCTGTTTCATTCAAGAACTTTCTAACTATGTGGCAAGTATTTAAAATAGCAGCTTTTTGGAGACTTTGGTATGTGTAAGGCGGGAGATCTAGAGATTTTATTGAATTATGGAGTTGTTTCGGGATCACACCTGTTGTTGAAAGTACTACGGGGATGATAGTGACATTGGTGAGTCGCCACATTCTGGCTATTTCAATTTTGAGGTCCGTATACTTGGAGAGTTTTTCGGCTATTGTATTTTGTAGATTGTGGGTGTTTGGTATGGCTATGTCTATGATTTGTGCAGTTTTGTTAGTTTTGTCAATGAGGGTAATATCTGGTCTATTGTAATGAGTGGTTTTGTCAGTGAGAATGGCTCGATCAAAGTATAATTTATGGAATGCGTTTTCAAGTACAGTTTCCGGTTGATATTTATAGTAAGGTACTGGCGGGGTAGATATTAGATTATATTTTATAGCTATTTTTTGGTGAATGATATTTGCTACTTGGTCATGTCTGTGCTTATAATCGGTTTGTACTATGGATTTGCAGGCGCCTGTGATATGCTGGATGGTTTCTGATGCACTATTACATCGCCTGCAGGTATCGGTTGCTAACGGGAGACGCATGATGTGCTTCTGGTAATTGCGTGTCTCTATGACCTGGTCCTGAATCGCGATCATGAACCCTTCAGTCTCAGGAAACAATTCACCACGCCTTAGCCATTCGTTCGATGCAACTTTATCGACGTTAGGTTGGCTAAGGTCGTGGTAGTGTCTCCCATGTAGTGACTTCTGGGCCCATTCAGAGATTTTAGTTTGTCGGTCAGTCAGTTTTTCGTTGTTCTGTGTTGCTTGATCAGCCATATTTAAGGGTGTTAGTTTTTTATCGCATTGAACTATTGCATTATGTAAAGTGGAGACAGAGCTTTTATTGGAAAAGTAGGATCTTAAGGTATTAATCTGTTTATTATGCAAGTTGGTAATATCTATAATGCCTCTTCCGCCATCACTTCTTGGCAGAGTGAGTCTTTGTAGGCATGATCGCGGGTGATGTCTCCTGTGTTTTGTAAGTGTGGTTACATCTAAAACCATGTTGAGCGTTGTTAAGATGTTTTTCGACTTGTTCATATATAAGTTTATGGAGAACATTTTCAAATACTTTAGCAGGTGACGATAAGACGGCAATAGGACGGAATTCCTCTACAGCCGTCTTATTCGACGTTTTAGGTATAGGCGTCACGCGCGACACTTTCCATTGGAGGGGATAAAACCCAGTCTTAAGTGATAAATTAAATATGTGGGATAAAGGAGAAACGAACGAATTCTTGAGATGCTTGAGAATAGTGGGTGGCATACTATCCGGGCCCACGGAACTACTGACTTTAAGTTTATTTAACCCATCTAAAACATCCTTGGATGAGAACTGAAAGATGTTTATGTAATTGCTATTTTTGGTAGTGTCTGAATTTCCAATGCTGGTGACATTTAACAGTGGTTTATCTGGCAAAAACACACTGGCAAAAAATTTGGCAAAAACCTCCGCGGCTGCAGTACCGCTGTAACTATCGCCACAGTAGCTCACCGACGGTTCAAACCCTCCCTTAGATCTCAAACTGGATATATGTCGCCAGAATTCACGCGGGTTTACTCTAATATTATTCTCTACGCGTTTAATATGCGTTTGATATGCATTGGCAACACGATATTTTAAGGTACTCCGAAGATCTGAGAAAGGCTTATAGTCTTCAAGGCATTTAGAGCGCTTCCAAGTAGCGTGCAATATGAGCTTACGTTTGACATCTTTAATTATGTCAGATGTAAACCATACAGGGTACCGCTCAGTTATCCTCCTTGAACGACTTTTCTTAGGCATGCAGGTATCAAAAGTATCGTAGATAATCTGATAAAAGGCATTCACCGCATCAGCAACGCTAACGGCCCGCAAAACAGGATCCCAAGATGTCTCTGATAATAACAAGTACAGTTGCTCGTAGTTACATTTGTAAAAGTTCCAATCTCTGAAAGGGTTGATGTTGCTAGGATCCATAACATTCGAACAATGAACTGATTCAATTCTTACCTCAACTTCCAACGGAGGGTGATATGTATCTGGCTGAACAATACCATCAACGCCAGACACAAACACTTCGTGAAAACCTTCCCGGACCAATATGACATCCAACTTTCCACCATGAACATTTAAGATATCGTTTTTGTCAACTAAAGAACAAAATGACAAGAAGTAGCAGTAGTAATTAGTGATATTATTAGATGCACTATTTAGATTAAGATCACCCATTATAACAACAAAGCCCTTAAAGTCATGTATGAAACCTTCGGTTTTGCAAAACCAACTCATGTAATCTTCATCGTTAGCACTAGGTTTGATGTACACAACACACACTAAGAATGCGAGGCTATGCCACGTAAAGGACGCCCACAAATCTTCGCCGCACTCGGTTTCGTACTCTCGTCTCCTGCGAAGCACGAGAGGCGCTCGCGCCGCTAGTAGAACGCCTCCACAGGGCGCATTTCTGTCACGGCGCAGGATACACCAGTCACCAGTTTCAATCTCAGAATCCAAGACCGAGGAGTCCAGAAAAGTTTCAGTGATAGCAACAAGGTTTTGCTCCAACAGGGATAAGTGGTTGCGCCACGTTGACAGCTTCGTCTTCAGACCTCGCACATTTTGGTAGCAAACATGGATATTTTTAAGACTTTTATTGTGTTTCTCATGCGGATGTGCGAAAGCCAAGCGCTAAAGAGGCGTTTGGCTAAAGGCCCTGGTCTTCTCTGTATGCTCTCATCGTTATGTTCAATCTACATGTCATTTAGTCTAAAGCAAAAACAGTTTTACGCCTAAACGCTGGAACCAAATTTAATGCTTTCGGTATATAAACATATATATGGTGGCTTTAGTCAAAAAATTTAATAGAAAATAACTACATATGTAGTATTCAAAGTAAAACCGCATGTAAAAACTGCCAATTAATATCTTGCAGGAAGGAAACGAATCCTTTACAATTAGGAATTACCTACTTTATGTCTCAAGACATAACACTGTCATACCTATGGCTACATGCGTCATTTCTAATCAAGTTCTCCTAGTTTTCCTGTTCAAGGCTTAAGTCATAAGTACCTCATTTGACTATCCTCATAGACTTTCCTTGGATTTCCATACTCAATGATGACTATTACACTATTTTTCCTTCCATTCTGTTTACGTTACCTTTACTTTACCTATTGTTTAATAGTTCCATTGATATAATTCCTATAGGTACCTACGTTATGAATGGTAGTGGTTGGATGCGAGGAACTGAAGATGGAGTTGGTGGTTTTTAGGCTTATGATCAGTACCGGACGAAAACACGTTACAAGAAGCACATTGCACTCCTTTAAAAAAAAGATGAGCCTGGAATGTGATACAAAAGTAAATAGTTCAAAGATAAACAGATAGATTTGTTCAAAGATAGTAGTTCCAATCATCGATATTGAAAGTAGACTAAATTAAGAAGATTAAATATAAGATTCCCTCTAATTTCTAAGAAATTTCATCAAATCAAATCAGCATCAAAACCCAGGAAGATTGATAGCAAATACTCTATGATCAATACACGGTCTTTTGAGACATCAAAATACAATCTTTGATCATAATTTAGTCTGTGGAGACAAAAGCTACCTAGTTCTAAAGTACCTATGTTTCAAATCAAATCAAATCAAATCATTTCAAGGCTTTAAAGTAAATTGCTGTTGCAATTTAAATATTTAAAGTACATACCTATTACTTATTACATTTTGTTTTACTATATTTTTTTATAAAAATAACTAACAATGGTATTGAATCATCCGTCATCTTATTCTTCTTTTAGTACCTATTTTTACATAAATAGAACAAAACGATGACTTAAATCTAGGTATCAAGAATGCGTTCGTTATTATTTGTCTATTATTTTTTCCACCATTTTTTAAGGAAAATTATTCGCGCATATGCGCCATATGGTATGAATGGATGAGGAAAAAATAAAAATTGTCTTTGGTAAACCCCGGCAAGAGCCTGCGCTAACCGGACCGCCTTCTTTTTTTAAATAGAGAAGACACCGTTCAGACTTGAAAAGCTAAAAAAAAAACTATTTGGTGTATGGTTTTATTTGTTTATTTATATAGACAATTTCCTCATCAACTTAGGAATTAACTAAAAAAGTAAATATTTACATTATTATATTTTACGTAATTGTGTTTCTGAGTCGCGTCACGATTGTTATCAAAGGTCCCATACCTACATGTCTGCTAAATTAAAACTGGCTCTAATATTAATGTAAACATTTCGCGACCTTTTTATTACCGTAAATCAATGTCCAAGGGCCTCTGATTTGAATATTTTTGTCATAATGACTTGTTTATCGATCGTTTCCTGGTTGTAAAAAGTACATTGTCATTCTATATTTTATAATCTGTGATATTATTTGTTTTGCTAATATGTCTACGAAACTAGGAATATTTTTTTACGGTAGCGCTCCGCTCGCGAATTCGGTATTCAAATATTTTAGATGAAGTTTAATATTATTTTTTCTATTTTTGTTTTTTTTTATATGATAAACGATAATCTTTGTTCTAAGTTTTCCGAATAACATTTTCTTATTTCAAATCGTGGCACCACAAGGCTTTTCTGCTGTGTCATGGGACGTTTTAAAACAATCGTTGTAGGTACATATTAATTTAATTCTTTATTAACAGAATAGGTCCCAATTTTTTTCGTCTACAATAAGCACACACTCTTTCGTAGAATATCAATTATCATGTTCGAAATATTTTATTTAAAGAAATGACAAATTAAATACAAGATAAATTACTTACAAATTATAATATGTGTAGGTACTTACTTATATTTAGCCGACTGAACGAGTGCCAACTAGTAGTAATGTTTTCCGCATATTCGCTCTAAATACTGAAGTAAATTAGCACTTCTCTTGCTTTTTAACTTTATTTTTTAAATGTTCGACATTTTGTATCTTAAATTTTAGAGGTTTCTGACCTATCGTCCGACCTAGTGTCGTGTCGTGGTGGCCCGGAGGTTAAGACGCCTGCTTCTCATGCATTAGGATGCGGGTTATAAACCTACCAACGGCAAGTATCAATGTGACTTTTCCGAGTTATACGTACCTTCTAAGATTATCTAGACACTACTGAGAAACGGTGAAGGAAATCATAGCGAGGAAACATGATTTATAATTTCTAATTATAAGTTTGTAATCACCAACCCCCTATGGGTAAGCGTGTTGATTAATGCTCAAACCATCTCCGTGCGAGAAGAGGCTTTGCTCAGCAGTGGGCACTTATAGGCTGTTGATGACCTATGAAGATATGTACTTAAAAATGTTTTACTGGTTACTTGAGAAAAATTAACTCCTTCTAGACTAAACCTCATTAATTGTTGTGGATTATATGAACCATGACAAACTAAGATTACAATTCTGTTATAAGTACGCAAGTACTCTACTACCTGAATCACTTACACTAGCAGAGTTCGTAATTAAGCAAAAATAAGTAAATGAATAAATACGTTTCGACTAAAAAAGGTAGAATAAACGACCACCAAAACCGCTTATCATTATGCTAATAACGTAATGCAATGAAAATAGTTAAGGTATTCTAGAAACGCATCGATATCATCAAAAAGCAATGATACGTCCAATTCCAATATTTTGCTACATCACTTATCACTTATAATAATATTTATTTATCTACTACCTAGCTTAAACCCACGGCTTTACCTGTTACATTTTATTCTTCTCAAAAACCTACCAAATCTTTTTATAAAATCCCACATATCTGCATATAATTTCGATTCAACATTGAAAGCTTACAAACATCTCCAAAATCATCTATCTCTACAACCAAACTTCATCAAAACAGACGCAGCAGTTTTGGAGTAAGAGCGTTACAAACAAACAGTCACATTTATAATAACGATGATAATAAAATGACGCCATACTATGATGTCATGAATTGCACACTGCTTGCCCCTACGACGTTTCATATTTGATTATATTTGTTATCAAATGATAAGAGTTTTATTTTCAAGTCAAATCTGGTGCTTGGAATTCAACCCTCTATCTAAATTGATAACACAGCCTTATAGTCATTGCGGACGGTGAGCATCGGTGACTCCCCGTAGTCCCCGTCCGACCAGAAACAGACCCGAGCGTACGGCGCGGGCGGCGGCGCGTCGCGTTCCGCGCGCGCCTCAAAGAGCCATCAGACCACCACAGATGGGGCCCAACAGGGCCGATGCCGAAAGTCGGAGTCGCGGAGAACCTAACGGGTAACCGGGGCTCCGGCTCCACGTGCAGGAGAAGGAACGGGGTGGTTTTTAGTCTTTCCCCCCTTAAAAAAAAAGCCTATAATGTACTTAATATTTTATCTCAGCCCAATTCATGTAAATTAGCGAAAGCCTGCACATAAAATAATAAAAATATATATTTAATCTTGGCTTGATAACGGCCCCCTCGCTGCGTGTTATCATCCAATTTCATATTATCATTATTTATAATATAATACTACCAATCAGATAATGCCCGTCCAATGTTCGCATGTGCAGATAGGTTCTATATTATTATATATATTTAACAGATGGCTATTGACTGATATATGCTTTATATACAACATTGTTCTAATATGCATAACTGCCTCGTTGACCGACTGGGCGCAAGTGCGAGTGCCTGAATTCGATTCCCGGGTCAGGCAAAGTATTACAGGTTTGTTTTAAATCTCAGTAGCAGTAGCACAGAATCTGGAATTGTACCCGGTATATGGCAGTAGGCTCACTCCCTATTACATCAATACATAGTATAAAACAAAGTCGCTTTCGCTGTATGTCCGTACGTATCTTTAAAACTACGCAACGGATTTTGATGCGGTTTTTTTTAATAGATAGAGTGATTCTTAAGGAAGGCTTGTATGTATATACATATTGCACCCGTGCGAAGCCGGGGCGGGTCGCTAGTGTAACATAAATAGTGAAAAGTGGGTGTTACACAGTGGGTTTGTACAGTGGCATTAACTATCGGCGGCCGACACTACTTATTTATTTACACTATTTGCACAATGGGTATACAATGGCGGACTTAATGCCCAGTGGCATTCCCTAACAGTCAACCTTAGGGTTAATAATCGTATCACAATAAATTTTCCAACTATAGACACTCGTGTTCATGAAGAGACATTCGATTTATACACTAAATGGAAAGTATCGCAGTCTATTCGTACCTTAAGACCTGCTAGGTCGGTAGATCGATACCAAACTTAAAGATCCTTGGACCTAATGATTATCGAACTTATATTTACTAAACCGACAAAGCTATCATGGCGCCATTACTTGTAACATGGTCTACACGTACAACATAACCATATCGTACGATATTACATGTTATTATGTAATTAGTGTCAAATTATTGTTTAAATAATACCAACTGATACCCTTAGTCCTCAGTTATCGGTACTGAACTCATGGCTTTATAAAGATATGGGCATAATAATAACATGATGGTGCATTTATTGTATTGAGGAAAAAATTGTAGATACCTGATAGGCTTATAGAAATTAAATCTTGAATAACGCATAGGACGAAACGAAACAATAATATTGTAACTTCACCATCGAAGCGTAATTCTTAATGTTTTAGATCTAGCGTCTTGTTAACAGCAATTCTTTATTTTTTGTGGCATAAGCCGGTAAACGAGCAGACGGATCACCTGATGGTAAGCAGTCGGCGTCGCCCATGGACACCTGGAACACTAGAGGCGTTACAAGTGCGTCACCGGCTTTTTGGGGATTAGGAGTTTGAGGATCGTTGAGGATTCAGGGATTGGGGAGATTGGGGAAGGGGAAGGTAATTGGGCCTCCGGTAACCTCACTCACACGACGAAACACAACGCAAGCGTTGCTTTACGTCAGTTTTCTGTGAGGCCGTGGCCGTGGTATCACTTCGGTCGAGCCGGGAAAAGCCTATTCTGGAATCGTAACTTAAAAATGTAGTAAACTATTACAAAACGGAACTATTTTACTAACCTGTTATTTTCCTATTGTTTCAGATGACACAAAGAACCTCAGAGAACCGACACAAGCCACGTTAGCCTTGACAAACCTACCACAAACCCAACCTAACGACGAAGAAAAATAGACTAAAATAGTCCGTAAGACTCAAAACTGCGTGTGATATTAATTTTATTTAAAAAAAAGTATTTATTCTGACTGCATTTAGAATTTAGAATTCGCTATTTAAATCCACCAATCGAATAGAAGTAGCCATAGACTAAGCACAGATAATTAAAACCAGTGATAAAGAAGGAAAAAGGCTGGATCAAAGGAGGCTGTATGCGATAAGATCGGACAGTAAAATGAAAGACAGTATGAAATCCTGCCAGCACGCGTTATCAGACGACGTCGTGTACAAAGAAGTTGTTGTTATCGGTAAGTTTATAATTATACTTTATTAATATTATATCATTGAAAAGTTAATATCATGCGTTAATCTTAAACGTACCGACTACAAAAAGGTTTCATAAAAACTTTCTCGAATTATCGAATTAGTGTCGTAATACATAAAACAATAACATAACAGTAATAGAGATTATTCTTACTAGTTAATCTTAGTTGTTTAGGCTTTTGCCTAATCCACTTTTTATAAAACGCAATTGTTACTGCGTAAAACTGAATACTCATTCGTAAGTTAAGACCAAGCAGAGTTTTAGCTCGACTTGCAAACCTATAAGAAGTTAATGTTACATTTATCTTACAATCTGTTATATACAAAGATAATTTAAACTGATATAAATACAAAGTCACTCTTCATGAGCGCAATAAATGTCTAATTGGAGTTCTCAACTATCAATCAAATGCATTTTATAATGCATTTGATTGACTTTATAGTCTAAATGTGAACGAGTGGAATCTTCCTGTCACCCCGACCCGGCTCCAATGTTCAGACGACATTAATTGACCCCTTGTAGCCTTACATACAATGTACTATTTCATAAGTAGCTTTGCTATCTTAATGCGTTATTTTAAGGTTCAAAATTACGTAACAAGTATACAATTAGTTAATTGGCGACCTATTCTATTAGATAATTAGGTATTTTGTTGAAATATTAAACCGGAACAGTTATATTATATCAACACTAGCTGTTACACGCGACTTCGACCGTGTAGAATATGATTACTGTTTTATCCCATGGGAACATTTAATCGGGATAATAAGTACCCTACCATATATTTATTGACGAGTAAAAGAGCTGCATTGTAGTCTATTTGCAGAAATAAATTCACTTGTTTCACTTGTATGCCAAATTTCATCAAAATCCGTTCAGTAGTTTCAGTATGGTTGACGGACAAACATCAAAAGAAAGAAATTTTCACATTGTAATAATGGTCTGGTTGATTTTACTGACTTTTAAAATAAAAATATCTCATTGTCATTAAAAAAAGGATGTGTTTAATGTGAATTCGAAACTTGAAATCCAACAGACAGAACGAAAATCGAGAGGCATTATATATGAACACGAGACTAATTTACCTCTATATGACAAACTTTTAGACAAATGAAACACTGGAAATGTAACATTATATCTTTTCTGAATTCAAACAACGGCTACTAATCCAACATAACAAATATTTATTTAATACTTTAACTGTAAATTCCCTTTTTAGCAATCAAAATGTCCGAAATTACCACCAAAAATACTGAATTGCATAGTAAATTTGCTCATGAAATAAATCAATTATGTTTACACAGTTAGATCTTTAAAGCTTAACTGTTTTACTGAATGACTATCTTCTAATTCTTCGAGTGCAACAAAATCTTAACCTAACTAATGACAGTCGTCACCTAAATGTCCCGAGACCCATTTTTACCACAAAAATAACTCGTTCCCTTTTTATTTAGGGAAAATGGGTCAGACAAACAAACAATATTTCAAAATAATTATAGAAGTAAAGATTTATTGTTAGTTATAGTTTTGGCTACTGCCTAATATCCCCTTGACCGAGTAAATCGTGAGGGTCAGGCGATGGTCCGGACCGTGGTGATACGGGCGATGGACACGGGGCAGTGGACATAATTCTTACATAGAGTTGGTCGTAAATAGTAAAAAGCTGTTTTTTTACTGTTATTAATTAATTAATGTAGACTGCTTCGTTGGCCGCGTGGTCGCAAGCGCGACCGCTACGCAAGGGTTCGATCCCGGGTCCGGAAAAGTATTACTGTACAATAGTAAGTATGGAGTCTGGAATTGTGCCCGGTATACGGGATTCACCCCCTATTATATGGAACTTCAATACATAGTATAAAACAAAGTCGCTTTCGCTGTATGTCCGTATGTATGCTTAGATCTTTAAAACTACGCAACGGATTTTGATGCGGTTTTTTTTAATAGATAGAGTGATTCTTAAGGAAGGTTTGTATGTATAATACATGCATATTGCACCCGTGCGAAGCCGGGGCGGGTCACTAGTGTAACATAAATAGTGAAATGTGGGTGTAACATTGTACAGTGGCATTAAGTGCCGTAATGTGCACCTCTACCTACCCCTTCGGGGATAAAAGGCGTGATGTTATGTTATGTTAATAGTAAAATAAATGATCTCATTTAAAAAATAAATAATTGATCTAGATTTGTGACAGAAATTTCATACAAGTAATGTCATTAATTCATGGTTTGTAATTTCGGCCAGAAAAAGGCAACAACATTTATTTCAATAAGACCAGAGTGCTTACTCTTGAAACCAATTTCAATGTCAATGCAATTTCAATCCAATAAAATCTCAATAATTATCCAATGTCAAAACTATACAACCCCTGTCGTAGCTGTTAAAGTAGCATTTAGAGTGCGGAATATAAAACTAAACTCATTACCATTTAGTTCATTCAATATCCACGCAATACGGATGCAATAGGCGCTAGTTTTGCAACTCAAGAGTACGAAATTTCACAATGTCAATGTCGATCGATCAGAATTGGATTGAAGAGTAAGCCCACTTGAAGGCACTATTAAACATCAAAAAAAAAATTAAAATTAAAGCTATTTGCTCATTCCAAGGTGTAGATTCCTATGCAGAAGAATGAGAAAGAAACTCCATAGGTAACTCTTTTTCAATCAAGTTCACAATACAATTCTTTAGTTACATAGTTTTGTTGGTTCGATTGCGTGAGAACAATGTAACACCGAAATCCAGTCAGAGAGATTGAAAAAGAAAATAACCTTAAGCGCTTTCGAATTTCAGTGCTTTCAATAGAAAGAAACGCGAATTTGTATAACTTACTTATTTATCTCGTTCCTGGGCAACATAGGTACGCAAAAAATACAGCAATTTTACCGAAATGTTCCGCATATTCTTCTAAAAAACCAATCGCGCAATATTCATAACATAACATAACATCACGCCTTTTACTCACTTTTCACTATTTATGTTATGAGTCCCATATAATAGGGGGTGAGCCTATTGCCATATACCGGGCACAATTCCAGACTCCTTGCTACTATTGAGATTTTTTTAAAAACCCAGTAATACTCTACAGTATATTTTTCCAAAATATCGATGTTTTACCAAATATTACCTAACAGATAAGTGAATCTAGACCGGAACGTATCACCTGTCATGTCATGTCTAACACTGATAGCCTGGATAAGGCAGGACAGTTCTTGATAAAACCGTCTGGATATTACGTCAATTTGTAGGTATATTTATCATTATTTTATGCAGCTTTTTTTTGTGTTAAAATTGTGATCGATTTTTTTATAGGTAATATTAAATATGTGTTAGTTTGTTTTGACCTGCTACTTAGAAAAGTGATGCTAAATTACTCCCAATCAACACCTGGATGTGAGCCAATATTTTGTTTTGGTAGAAGTATTACTAGACTATACAAGTATCTATTCATTAAATATCTACTGAAATGTTTTGGCCTTCATTGTAGTCTAATAGAGATCACTTCATATGTGCAAAACTATAGCAAACCCTCCTTTTTTTAAGTAAATTTCACTACATAGTGTAAAACAAAGTCGCTGTCTGCCGTCTGTCTGTCCCTATGCATGCTTAGATCTTTAAAACTACGCAACGGATTTTGATGCGGTTTTTTTGAAATAGACAGAGTGTTTCTTAACGTAGTTTTATGTGTATACATGCATATTGCACCTGTGCGATGCGAAGCCGGGGCGGGTAGCTGGTTGTATATAAAATACAGTTTACGACAACATTCTTTATAACACTGCGAAAAAACTTTTACAGATTATATCACACTCAACTTGAAATCTAAAGCTCATGGGTAGACTTATAATAAATCTCCTTTCTAATAATCGCGAGATTTTTAGTTAATTTAGTATGTCTCATGATAGTTATTATAAATAAATCTTATTCCAGTATGTAATCATATAATCAATAAAATAATAAAATTAATAAACAAGGAAAACATCTACATGGTAGCTTGCACATTATTCCCTATTGATTTATTATCTATATGCATAATTACATAAATCATTGACTTGCAAGTAATGTAATACGTACTAGGGCCGGATAATTGTTATAGCAACTGACATCATTATGCACTTCCTATAGCCATTTGCTTTGCTATAATTAATGGATGCCATTAATATAATAATTGTACACCGTCATTGAATCTTGCAATTTCTACATTCAAATCTAGTGTTCGAAATATAAAAATCGTTCAACGATAAATAAAACCATTTACTACCTGAACGAGCAACTTCTTCTGCGTTTTTCTAAAGTAAAAGTAACTTATGTTATTCCTTAGTTTATTAGGTACCAGCCAATGTAAGTCCCGTCAAAATCGGCACAGCCATTTCAGAGATTAGCCAGTACAAACAAACTGATGAACTAAACTTGTAAAAAGTTATATGCATGCAGTAAAAAGCGACTACGTCTATTACAAACAGACACTCCAATTTTATTTATGTATATGTATATTCGAATTTCAAATAATAGGGTAGATGACTAATTTTTATTTCAATGTCCGTCTGGCAGATTATTTTAAATCATTAGAAACGTATTTTATATTTTCTTACAGAAATGAATACTTTCGACGATATATTGATTTGACATGTCGCGTGACGTCACTTCTATGTACATTTTATACGCAGAAATGACGTTTTAGCCCGGGACTCCTAAACTTTGATATGTTATATCTAAGTATTGTTTTATTATACGACAAAATAATAAAATACGTGTCTAATATTTTTTCATTGCCTAACTTACGGGCTAATTAGATTTTTAATTTTCATACCCTGTCATCATCCCTATTGCGTTCTATATTTTGACGTTTGTTTTTTTTTCTCTCAGGCAATGGACCGAGCGGTATGGTCACCTCGTTCATGCTGGCTGGTAATGTGCCCTACCTCAAGGAGATCCCAGATGACTTACCTATCGATGAAATGCTTAGAGCCAGGTAAATACTACATTAGCTTATGCAAAGTTAACTCTTAAGATTAAGAAATAAAGGTCTTTGACATCTGGACACAGGATATTAAAATAAACTGCGAAAACAACACATAACATAACATCACGCCCTTTATCCCCGAAGGGGTAGGCAGAGGTGTAGGTACATGCCACGATACAATGTAACACCCTCTTTTCACTATTCATGTTATGAGTCCCATGTAATAGGGGGTGAGCCTGGTGCCATATACCGGGCACAATTCCAGACTCCGTTCTCTTACTGAGAATTTTTAAAACCCAGTAATACTTTGCCCGACCCGGGAATCGAACCCGAGACCTCTTGCCCGGCAGTCGCACTTGCGACCACTCGGCCCACGATCGCAGAAGCAGATGCGAAAACAAGATTTGTAATTTAAAAAATCTTGTTACTGAATTTCCATACCTAAGGCAGATTACACAACATGAATGACTAGATCAGTCGAATTGAGGAAACTACTTAATTTTAAAGTTTTTTTTATCAAATCTGTTTTATTTTTTTCTGTTAATCTGAACAGAGGTATTTACTTTATATTTTCATTTCAGACTATCAAACCTCCCCCCTGGACAGAGTTTATATGAGACAGACCTCTTGGAGCTGGCTGAGGGACTCGAAGGTAGAAGCCAGAACCCCATCCCACTGCTGGTGAGTCCTCTATAGTTAGCTTTACATTATATATACAATTAGAATATCTTAGCTTATTTCGACATTACATAGGCAGAGGTGCACATTACGGCACGTAATACCCACTTATGACTATTAATGTTATGAGTCCCATGTAATAGGGGCCTATTGCCATAAACCGGACACAGGTTCACAATACAATTTTCTAGTTACATAAAGTATTATTTTTCTAATTACATATATTACTGCCCTACCATATTTACTTATCATTATGCAGAATATCAACCGCATAGTCACCTAAACACATACAATATACATATATAATATATTAGTATATAATGCACTACCGCATAAATAACTAACATTGTTATAACTAATGTTGGTTTGACCACATGACAATCAACGTGACACGACCATTACATAGCTTTTTTACACCCAACCTACAGGAATGAGTTAAATGAGGCATCATTTTGTGCAATTTTTGTGCGTAAGATGTCGCTAGCAAAATTTAGTATATCTAAAAGCTAACCTAGCCAAACGTGGTGTGTAAAATACATATATTTCTCTATTTCATTAAGTGATTTCATAATTGTTTGATTGCCAAACAAAGCACTATTAGATTATGTTTCGCGACGAAAATGCTTTCAATAAAAACATGGCGATATATTGATACACTTTCAATAGCCCATTATAACACTAATTATGTCACCATCGTAGTGTGTCAATAAGAAAACTATAATCGCAGCTAATTCAATCGGTTTACAATGGCGTCATAATGAATTTCAAATGAAGCCATTCTCAGTTCATATCAGTAATTAGGTAGTTCACAATGACAAACTGCTAATTGAATGGTGTTAGCCTGTTAACTGTGAATTTGTCCTAAATTCCATAAATGACTCTGCTACAACTCTGAACAATATCATAAAGATTTAAGTCATCGTAGCAAACAAATAGAAGAAAATGTTTCGTTTGACGTGGAAGATCCATGCTTAGGCACTGCCGAAAACAGGCGTGAATCATGAGATGAAAAAGGGAGTGAAGTTGCCGGAGGCCCAACGTGCACTATAAGGCCTAAGGCCACGCCTGTTTATATTTTACTAGCTTTTACCCGCGGTTTCGCTCGCGTCACAAAAGGATAAAAAGTAGCCTATGTGACATATACCAATACACACAGCGCCATCCATACCATTACTTTTGTTTTCCCTCGGAAATATCAATTTTTCCGGGATAAAAGGTACCCTAGGTAGGTATTTAATCCGGACTTCTAACTTTACGTCTGCAAAAATTCAAAGCAATCGGTTTAGTAGTTACGGCGTGAAAGCGGAACAAACAAACAAACAAACTCACTCTCCAATTTATAACATTAATATAGTAAGGAGTAAGGATAGTAAGGACTAGTAAGGATTAGGGAGCGAAGATCATCCAATGACTTATCCCGCCTTAGGTGAGGCAAGAGGGAGTGTCAAAGTCTTACTGACTGAAAGCCCACGTTCCAACTTCTGCTTCGTGCCGGAGCATCAGAAATCCTTGTCTTCGCAGCCTTGGTGACACGTTTGTCAATGTTTTCTTACTAACAATCATGATCTTCATTAATGTTGGAAACCACAAGCATTATATCATTCACAGAAATGATGTGTGGATGTAACCGCGTCAGCTTACTATCGTATTTATAAACACCGTGATGTTACAGTCTTTCTTTCCTACTACTTGTATTTATCAACATTATTGTAATGTCTGCTGTCTGCTCAGTTCGTTGGCGCTGAGCATGACTGCTGAGCGTGAAGCTTTGGGATTAATTGAACTACAGCGTGAATAGATATTTAAGTAAAACTGCTGAGTGGAACTCCATGCCAGAATCTGCCTTCTCAGAATTGGGTACTGGGATACAACTTGGGTCTCTTCAAGACCCTTCTAAGTACTTTTTTGACTGAAAGAGTAACAGACAAGTGAGATAACAAGCAAAAAGAACGTATGTACATTTTCACAGTTTCGCATTTGTAATATCAATAGGTAGACCAAATATTTTTTTTAAAACATTGCCCCTCGTTAGGTAGACTAAAAATTTTAATTTTTAAACGTTGCCCCACTAGGATTTTCTCCTGTGTCGTGGGTGCGTTTACAAACATACAAGTTTACATACACATGACACCCAGACCCGAAACAACTATTTGTGGATTACAGTGCGGGAATCGAACCCGCGACACGTTACGCGGCAGCCGGTTGCTCAGCCACCGCACCAAATTGTAACCAATGTTTGGCTTTAAGTAAGGTCACAGCTTAATAAGAAAAATGGTTATTTAACTTCGGGAAAAAGATCATGACTCAATACATGCTTGTTCATGCTCGTTGTATTTGGCATCATTTATTTATATGTGTTGCCTGTCTGCCTGTCTGTCTCAATTATGGTGACACGAACAAACGATCTTTCTTGATTACTCTAGATAATAATTTCGTGATCAGTTTCTTTTCAGAGTTAGCATGGTATGAACTAGGTACCTATTGATACAGAAATAATGTAAATGTAGTATTCATATGCGGTTTCACACAATCTGCTCAGCTCCTATTGGTTGTAGCGTGATATTTTATAGCCTATAGACTTCCTCGATAAATTTGCTATCCAACACAGAAAGAATTTTTCAAATCGGACCAGTAGTTTCGGAGATTAGCGCGTTCAAACAAACAAACAAAAAAATAAACTCGTCAGCTTTATAATATTAGTATAGATGTTAACTAAAGTTTCTTACTTTAGCCAATGCTTTCTGGAAATACAAGCATTACACATTCATTCAAATATACTAATCAGATAATACTGTTTCCATACATGTTTTTCTTTACATGAGACACATAAAGTTAAAAGTTTAACATAACATCACGCCTTTTTATCCCAAAAGGGGTAGGCAGAGGTGTACATTACGGCACTTAATTAATGCCACTGTACAATGTAACACCCACTTTTCACTATTTATATTATGAGTCCCATGTAATTCCCAGCCTATTGTCATATAACGGGCACAGTTCCAGTCTCCGTGCTACTACTGAGATTTTTAAAAACCCAGTAATATTTTGCCCGACCCGGGAATCGAACCCTTTGCCCGGCAGTCGCAATTCCGACCACTCGGCCAACGAGGCCGTCGCAAGTTAAAAGCTTATACCTGTCGCGGAGAACCTAACGGGTAACCGGGGCTCCGGCTCGACGTGCAGGAGAAGGCACGGGGAGGTTTTTAGTCAGTAACAGTCTGACACTCCCTCCCGCCTCACCCAGGCGGGAGCAGTCATTCGATGATTTTCCCCCCTTAAAAAAAAAATACCTACTAAAACCCTTAATGACATAAAAAAGCATGTTCTGTTATGCTATTTAACGTATAAATCATAAAATCGATTTGCAAATTTAAATAGCACCCTATGGCCCAGTTAGCAATTCATTGAACTAGGCAACGCTTGAATGCATAGACCTTGATGTCTATGGTTCAATAACCAGGTCGAGCAATATTTTACTATGCATACTACTACCTACTTGGTTCTCAAGGCAAAAATTGGCGTATTGCCTGGAAACTGCGCTACACTGGTGACGTCATCTCTTAAAAGTACAATCGGCGAAATTTTTGGTGATCGGGGTGAAATGGTCGTTTGAATGACTGCACGGTTGGCGCGGTGGCTGGGCAACTGGCTGCCGCGCAACATGTTGCGGGTTCGATTCCCGCACGGAACAACTCTTTGGGTGATCCACAGATTGTTGTTCCGGGTCTGGGTGTCATGTATATGTGATATTGTATGTTTGTAAACGCACCTACGATACAGGAGAAAATCCTAGTGTGGGGCAACGTTTTTTTTTTTTTAAAAAAAAAGAACTACATTATTTATCGTCGACAATTTTTTCGATACTTACTTTATCGAGTAGTTTAAGTCTTGTCAGCTGTATGGATACTGCAGCAAACTTATTGGTTACTATCTGGTACACATACTACTGACTGCCTCGTTGGTTGAGTGGTCGCGAGTGCAACTGCCGGGCAAGGGGTTTCGGGTTCGATTCCCGGGTCGGGCAAAGTATTACTGGGTTTTAAAAAATTCTCAGTAGTAGTACGGAGTCTGGAATTGTGCCCGGTATATGGCAATAGGCTCACCCCCTATTACATGGGACTCATAACATAAATAGTGAAAGGTGGGTGTTACATTGTACAGTGGCTTCGCCCCTTCGGGGATAAAAGGCGTGATGTTATATATGGTACACATACTAGCGTAATTAATGGCGCACTATGCGCCTCGTGCGTGCAAACATAATAAGTATGTATGTAAAATATCAAAATGCAATCATCAAGTCAAGCAAGTTCTTATTCCTAAAAATAAATTCAAAACCAACAAAGCGTTTTTATATCTTAATTTAAATACTATTTCCATGTATAATATTCAAATCACGTCGGAACACGTATAATAGTGCAATTAATTATTTTAATGTCTAAATTATAACTTATCTAAATACGCAATTATGTAAAACGAGACGCCATTTTTGTTTAACCTTGATTCGAAGTTCATGGTGACTGTGACATAATATTATTATGTAAGCCGGTTCATAAAGTGTTCTAGATAAAAAAAAATCTAATTTGACATGCGTAGATTTTCTAGTACTTTCTGTGCGGTATTAAAAATGTAGTTCCTGTACAAATGCTTGGTTTTAATATAATTTATTGTACAGGAAACAGAATATTAATAATTGTAAATATTTTGTAATTTTAGTACAGTCTCTGTGCCTATTTTCATGTTTGCGAACTTAATGTACTTTTCAATCATGTGAGCAATTTATCAAACATCAAAATAGAAATAAACATCAATATTTTTCCCGACCCTGAAGAAACTCAGAATCGACTAATGTCTAACACATACCACTGGCGGTCATTGAGCCAAATACTCAAAAATAACCCTATTCCCAACATGATAAGGTCCTTAATACCAACTTAAAAGTTACAATATTTAGTTTCGCAGCTATTTATAGAACAGTATGAAGTTTATATGTACAAACGAATGCC